AAGGTGCTTGCATTATGTCTAGGACATGATAGATGATCAACAAAGACTAGATGCCTTTGCTTCCCCTCTGTTGGACACAGATCAGTCTAGTTCTAGAATCAACTGGTTCCTTTTCACACAGCATCCATCTTGATAGTGTTAATAGATGTGTCAGAAAAAAGTGGTTATCCTAAGCTTAAAGTATTCCTGATTCTAATAATCACACCTGTCAGCTAATCCTTGACTCCCCAATTCTTTGTTTCTCCTAGTTTCAATCCTTGTTCTGCTGCTTAAACATCCCTAATGTTAATCCCTTCCTCCCTCCTTTCCTCCCTCCTTCCCTCCCTCCCCTCCTTCCACAAAAACTCTATTGATGATACATAGTGGACACCATTGTCTTCTCTGGGGACAAAACAGTAAATAGTAAATCTCTGTTCTTACCGAGTTTACATCACAGCAAGGGAGACAGACAATAAACACATGAACATGAAATGTAAGATAGTGAAGAAATAAATAAAATGGTTTGGGAGTAGAAAGCAAGGGAGGTCAGATAGGACTCCAACGGTGGGCCTTTCAGAGAGTAATTAAGACCCGACAGCTCCAAAGAGCCAAAACTTCACAAAAGCCTGTGGTGAAGTGAGAAAAATTCCCACTGTCCGTTTTCTGTTCTGTTTGCTTATCTGGCCTAAGTTGGGCCCAAGAAGTGCTCCCAAGTCCCACTAGGAATGTGAACTCACTAGAGGTGGATAGAACCATAACTGTGTGAGGGGGTCATATCCCACCAAGAGTATTTGTGAGGTAGAGAAATGAGCCTGCAAAGTGAGAGAGAAGAAAGTGCTTGTACAGGCAGAAGCAGCAATGAGATTGTAAAGACTTCCTAGACTCTGTGTTTAGCCCTGTGGGCCTGGCTCCACTCCGGCCCGTGGGTTCTATGAGATACCTCTGTGACTTTTCAGTCAACCCCTCCTTTCCTGCTTTTTGTTGGGGTAGTTCAAACTGGATTCAAGGAAATCAAAAAGTCTTAACCAATTATTACCCCTTCAATGCCTGAGGGATATAGAATACCTTTTTAAAAAGAAAATATATAAAAGGAGAACGTGATGGTTAATTCTAGGTGTCAAATTGACTGGGCTAAGGGATGCCCAGAGAGCTGGTAAAACACTTTTTGGGTGTGTCTGTGAGAGTGTTTCTGGAACAGATTAGTGTTAATTCCACTGGGGGCCTGAATGGAACAAAAAGGAGGAAAGACAAATTCTCTCTTGAGCTCAGGCATCCATCTTTTGTCCTCAGATAGCTCCTGGTTCTTGGACCTTCAGTCTCTGGGACCTAAACCAGAGGCCTTTAACACGTCTTGTTACAGGCTTTGGCTCACGTGGTTGTGGAGACTCAAACAAAAAAAATAATACACACACACAGATTGGCAAGAGTAGGTTTACAGTTGTGAGTATGCGAAACAGTTTATTCTTGTATTATTTATTAACTTGTATTTTTCCATATGACCAACTTAAACCTACTTTTGCCTGCCATATATATGTGTTTGTATGGTTATATCTATATTCTTCTGTTGGATCTGTTTCTCTGGAGAACCAGAGAATAATCCGATTCATGCCACTGCTTTTCTCCATAAGTACCTCAAGCACTTACCTGCAATTTTGTGTCTCTATTCCATGTGTTTAGTAGCTGTATATGACTTTTCTCAAATATTTCTCCTTTATCTTTTACTTTTCTTTCTCTGTCCCATTTCTATTGTTTTTTACTCTTTTTCAAAATCTTTTCTCTACATTAACTTTCATTCCATGTTGCCTTTTTTTATTGCACGTCTGTGACAATTTCTCACAACTCCTCTCCTCTCACTTCTTACATTAGAAAAATCCTGAGATCACAGAGAGGAATGATTTTGCTCAGTTGAGCAAATCTGAGTCTGTCGGCCACCATGGTAGGCCCTCCTCTTTCTCCCTTTTCTACTACAAGTAGTTCTGATAGGCTAGGAGCACTATACTGGCCTGGTGTGAACAAGTAGGGGATCCATGGATAAGAGTTAAGATTATGATGTGGGTGCTAGAGGCCCTGTTTTCAAACCTTTTATGTGCAACCCAATGTATAAAATCATTTCAGAGTGTCCTTCGCCAAAGCTGGATCTCTCCACTTGGGACCCCTATTCGCTTAGGCATGTAATACTTGAACAGAAACCTCTAGCAATAATTTCACTGGTAGCAGCTTTTCTTCAGACTTCTTCCTGTCCCCAGCCCACCCTTAATCCATGAAGTTCTGTCTGGGGCAAATGGTTGCTCACAAATCAGGATTACTGTCTTTGTAGTGACCTTACGGAGTTTGTGCTGAGATTCCGGGGGCGGGGGGGCTGCGGTGAGGAGGCAAGCAGGAGACACCTGGTATTTGGCTTTGCACTTGCTCTTACTTATTCTGCTAGGAGCCGTGAGAGAGAGTTCACCCCTCATGGATATGTTTAAAGTCAGGTGCCTACTGAACTTTGACCCAGCTGTAAATTCTAGAATGTACACAGGGCCATAAAGGCAAATGTAGTTCTAGGAAGTGCTCAAGGTTTTGCTAGTTCCCCCAAGTGAACATGGAGTCCCCCATCTCAGGTACAGTTTTGAGGAATGTGTGTTAAGTGCTAAGTATGTACTAGGTACTGTGCTAAGAACTTCAGATATAGTAACACATTTAACTCTCACAATGAAAGTTTGAAGTGCGAAGCTTTATTAGGATTCCCATTTTACAGATGAGGATGTGGCTTGGCAGGTCTAAGGCTGCACGCCTAGGAAAGTGGGTGGGCTTAAACTCAGAACTATGCAACTTCCCAATCAGTAATCTTCTCTGCTATGCTATGCTACCTTCTCTAAAGCATATAGAAAATGTAATACAAATATTTATGTACAAATGAACACAATATTGGCTTTGTGGCCCAAACTGTAATCAGTTTGTGTTCCATATGTCATTCTGGTTTGTGAGCCACTCCCTGTCCTTCTTCCCAGTGCCCCAGATATACTTTCACTTCTCTCCCAGCCACTAAATGTCATCCAAACTTCTAATTTGACTGGATGCTGAGAATCTTACTATTTTGTGCCATCCCAAGTAATTTCATGACTCCTTCCTTTTCCTTGTTAAGAAAGATGACTCTTGTGGTGGCTGTGGCCCAGAATCCTCCCCTTGTACTTAGAGCGAGCCAATCAATAGCTCTCCCTACAGCCCTCACCGCACCGATGGCCTGCAATGCATTAATGGCATTGCTCTTTGGCACCTCAAAAGATGGTCTTGCTAGAAAATAAATTTATCCCCCACCCCGCTTTCTTCTTCTCAGTGACGCCTACCTTACTGCTTCCTGTCAGAAGGCTTAGGAAGCCCTGGTGCCATCCAATAGCACCACGGAGATAATCCTGGTTTTTAAAAGTGTCATTTATGGAAGATGCAATTTCTACTTGGTCAATTTGCACGTGGTCGGTCTTGTATATTTAATCTGGCAGCAGAATGCTTACATTTTTTTCTTCTTCTGAGGTTAAAATTAAAAAATGGGTCCTAAAACTATCACCCATGAAAAACAATTAGAAAACAATTCCCTGTTGCTTTCTTCTTGTTGGAGTCTGATGGACTGACTTTAACATATTCTAGTGGACAGGGTTGGTTTGTTCAATTGGTTTGAATGTCATTCTGATGAGTCCAAGAGTATACACCCCATCTCTGCAGGATGTGAGTGTATCCCCCTGGGCACTGGGTGTCCCATTCTCCCTGTAAATCTGCACAAGGGAGAGGAGACACAATGACATTCCCACTCCAAGCCCATACCTCACAGACATCACATGTTGGGTACAAGGTTACTGCATATTGTCTAGTTGATAGTGTCAAACATCTTGCTTACTGGAGGTACGTAGAGGAAAATCAGTAAATTCAAAAGAAAATACCATCTAAATAATAAGAGTACGAGTATTACTTGTCCACTTCAAAGACATGCAGAAAATGCATGGAAACACAAACAGTATGGTGAGCAAGGCAAGAGATATCTGTGAACTGACTCCTCTTTCTTCAGTGTCTTGATCACACTCTCCGTGGGAGGGGGATGCTTCTTAGTTCTAATACGAACTTAAGAGAACAGGGGTAAGGGGGGGGAGGGGGACTGTTCACGGTGTCTGTTCAGAAAGAACTGAAGCAACCCAAGACTGTTATTACATCTGATTGCCGGCAACAGAATGTTGCTAAAGCCCTCCCTTTTAGGATTTTGGACAGTTGCTCGAGTTTCAGTCTTTGAAAAGCTGAAGTCTGGACAAGAGAGCGTGTTAAAGAAAATTTGCTTTTAAGGATAAGCTTCACTGTGATGTAGATTACTTCTTAGTGTTCACTCAGCGAAGACATGAGTACTGTAGATACTCAGGGGCTATGGCACTGTTTTGTGTACTTCAGATGACATAGTTTTTCTATTTCTTCAGAACTGGTCTATATAGCTTTTCATTGAAGAAACGATTACATGCGTTTCCCCTAATCAAAATTTGATCCATATAGTATTCTACCTAATAGCAGTAACAGTGCTTTCCTGTGTCTTCGGTTTGGGTTCTTTTTCAAAGCTTCTCTACCCTTTGGCGTATTTCTTAAACCTGTCATCTTGTGATGTCTCTTTTTAGAACACCCAAGAAGCAGGGATTTAAAAAGTTCCTAAACTAGGAAATCCCGCCCCCAAGCTCTTTCCCACCGAGAGTAAGTTGTTGCCGTCCTGGGGCCTTGCAGGCCCCATGTCTGTAAGGGACCAAGACCACTGCTTCAGACAGACCTTTGGGATAACACCAGTGGGCCAGACTCACAGATTTTTATTTGCAGTTGCTTAAAATTTAAAAAGGCAAAAAAAACCCCCACCCTACAGTAGTGATATAGTTCAGAAAATAAGTGAGTTTGTGGGCAGGTGGTACAACTTATTGTCAGTAACTGCAGCATTTTGCACAAGCATCCTCTCTTCCATCCATCTGTTCGTTTCTCAGCTCTGCCAGGAGGTGTCACTATAATCACAGAACAAACATTCCACAGCATGGTATGTAACTTTATTTTTCTAGCATAATAATTTAAAGTATTTACACACTTGCACACTCACAGTTTTACAGATACTTATTCATATACCTATGAACCACATCTAAAGACTCAGCACACTGTGGGATTTCCAAGCATAAAAAGAGGACAAAAAATGTTTTAAGTTTTTTAAAGACAGCCATATGGAACATCTGTGAAAACCAGTGTTTTCCTCCGAGTTTTAGGCTCCCCAGGAGACCTTTGAACAGCTACAGCCTATCCATGTGTTGCTGTGACCCAAAACTCTTCTGGTTAAGGAAGATTTCAAAGACCAACATGTGCAAGGAGCATTTTCTCTAGAAATCCTATAAAAGAAACAGGAGATAATAAAGCTGGCCTCTCTCCAAGTACCTGCATTTCTAAAACAGTGATCTGTGAGGACAGTTAAGTGTTGTACAGGAACACTGGCTAAGGGAGAATAGCTAAATGTACTGGTACCATTCCTAGTGATGTAGGATGGTTTTAAGCATCTTTTCCAGTTAAATAGTATGGCAAAATGACACGATTTTCTTTCCCAGCTATTAGTAGAGGTGGTCTGCTTTCCCTACAAAGGCCAAAGGTACATTAACCATACACACTCCAAACCCAGACACTGTAGAAATTTCTACTCTTGTTTTCACTTCACTTTTATACTGTTTGCACAGTCTCATTTTCCCAGACTGGCCAGAATACTCTCTTATATAGCAGAAAGTGGAGAGGAGCTTTGCCACCTCTGGATGAATCGCAGTTCATCCTGTGACTGGATGATCAGTTTACTGAAGAAACTTCACAAAAATGACATCCTTTCATCCCGCCAGTTTGGGCCTCTGGCAGTGCTACCAACCCATGGCATATGGCACAAGGAAGCAGTTACCTGGCTAACAGAAACTTAGCACAATCTAGACCCAAATTACTATGGTATTTAAAGTTTATTCACTTTTGTTTACATTAATGTAAACTTAAGGTAAAGCACAAATTCTATCACTTTTTCTTGGAACCGAACACATTTTAGAAAGAACAATACAAACCTACCCATTTTGGAGTTTACTTTCTCAGTTAACTGTGTTTGCTGCTGTTGATAGTGTTTTCCTTTTGCAGGGGATTGTTGACAAGGAAACTGAAGAGGTAAAATTTTTTTAACTTTATAGGGATTTTATGAAGTTACATGAGCAACTGACAAAATATTCACTTACAGACATTAACAGGGATAATATCTTATTAAAGAGACCACCTGGCAGCAACCGCTGCTTAATGAGAATCTCTAGATTAACTAGCACCCAGAGTTCAGCCACATTCTGAGTCAGGCGGAGGAAGTGTTTGTCATTGACACCCTAGTCCATTCCATCATGCAAACAGACGTGTGGAAGACCGTGGATGCTACGGTGAAGAACATGGTGTGGAGGGAAACAAAGAGTGGTAAACTTGGTGGTGGGACCTGGGCCTCAGTAAGGAATCTAACAGTCCCCAGTGCCTGAGGTTGAGGAGGGCTTGCTGTGGGTGGAGATAGGGAGCAGTACGTTTCTGGGCCTGAAGAGTCAAGGAGGGAAGGCTAAGAATGCGGGCTTGCACAAATCATAGAAAGCGGCAAGCCATGATCACTAAATTTATGTTTTTGTGTTTTGTTTGTTCAATGTAAAATAGTTAAAAGAAGAAAAAAACTACAGTTTACACAAGGACATGGGATGCAGACAGACTGAGCACTACCGGAGTCTAGCAAAATGCCTGGTACTTACCTAGGAAATTGTCATCACTACTAGCCCCTTCTGACCTATAAAAACAGCAGTTTCATATGGTTCAACTTAATACACTGGAAATGCTCAGATATAACAATCCTAGTTTAATAAGGATTGTAGTAATATTCTCTCCACTCTCTTGGAAAAGCAACAGCTGTTGAAGAGGGAGAGGGCTTCCTAGACATCAGTCTTTAACAGCCAAAAGCACCTGCAAGGTGGAGTTAACTATTCTTCCGAATCAAGTGAGGACAGAAGCGCTGGGGAGGCTCCACCAGGAGGTGAGTATGAGCTGCGCACCATGGGAATCAGTAGCAAAGGGAAAGGGCAGAAAGGAACAGCCAGGAACAACTACAAACATCATCACTGTTCGTTTCAAAGGGGACGCTGCATATGGTGTCTGTGTATATGTACTATACATACTAAACAGGTACACACATAAATATTTAATATATAAAAAATAAAGTGCTTTCTAACAGGTCCCCAGGCAGGGACATTATAAAACTTTTCACAAAACTGCAAAATAAAATCGATACAATCAAAGAGCACTACATCCAACATACATGAAAACAATCAAACACAGTATGTACAATCTGGTGGGTGTCCCAGAACAAACATCCTGTCATATACATGGTATATACATATATACTCTTTTACTCAATATATTATGACAATATATATTTTAAATTTTTGTTATAGACAAAAAATAAAAGACAACCCCTACAAAAACACAATACAGATCAAGCACATGAGCCCCAGGCCGAGAGAGAGCTGGCTGCCTCCACGGGGAGTCTCCTGACCACTGCTTGGGAAAATGTGCCAGCGTTCCTTCCTCGGGTGCAGTGCCTCCATGTCCGCCAAGGCACTGTGGGCTGCCGCGGTGAAGTTGGCATCACCGGTGGTGAGCAGGTCGAAGACACAGGACTGGAAATAGATGTCCTTCACTGGCATCTTCTCGTGGCATTGAGCATTGGCAGTCTCCAGTGTGTAGCCAGGCCAGGTCTGTGCCAGGCGGGTGTGAGGCAGGGCGTGCCCCAGGATGGCAGACACCTGGCCCTGCCCATCATCAATGCGCTCGCTCAGGGGGCAGCCATTCACACACAGCTGCAGGTCCTGGCTTTCCTCGTAGGACATGGCCAGGTCTTCAGGCATGCGGATGGCGAGGGTCAGGTAGCGACCCAGCTGCCGCACAAACACCGTGGTCCCTATGTAGCGGGCGTGCATCTCCACATAGCGGCCACTCTCCCTTTCCACTATACGCAGACTCTTGGTGTCGCCATCCCCACCGCTGGTGCTGCCATCCACAAAGGCAGCAGGCAGGTCATCTGTCACAGCTTGGTACACTTTCTGATCGGTACACTCACGGTGGGCTTTGAAGATGATTGTGATCTGTGGAAGGAACGTGGACAGTTAACACTATGGGAGGGAAACACGGTAGTGCCTCCCCCTGAAGTTGAACGGCTAGAGAAAAAATCTCCAAAGTCAGCCCCTTTGCTCCTGCCTCACACATGAATGGTGTTGCTGTGAGGGAAAATTAAAAATCCTATGTATTGCCCTGACTGGCATGGCTCAGTCAGTTGGGCACTGTTTCACAGCACCAAAGGTCACCAGTTCAATTCCCAGTCAGGGTACATGCCTGGGTTGCGGGTTTGGTTTCTGGTTGGGGGGGTGTACGAGAGGCAACTGATCGATGTTTCTGTCTTTTTCTCCTTCCCTTCCCCTCTCTCTAAAAATAAATAAATCTTAATAAAAACAAAAAAGGTCCTATTATTTAGAATGAAAATTCAACGTAAGTCCAGGGAATGTGCATCAGGAAAAAGAATCTGTGTTTACTGTTCTAAGATCGGGCAGTGTTGCTGTTGGGATATAGGCAATTTTTACCCATCATTTATACCTTGTCTCTTTCCAAAAACAGATGAGCAAGTGGCATAGTTCTGAGAAAGAAAAACATTCCTTTCTAAGTTACACAGAAATTTGAAGGGGCTTAATTAACAGTATATGTACCAGAATGTTGATTCCTAAAAAGTTTCTTCATTGGACTGTAAAAAATGTATCCCATGACTAATCACCACAAACTTACTTATGAAAACTGAGGGGGTGTAGCAGAGAGTTGAGAAGGGGGGCCATCCCAGAGCAGCTACCAATCATGTGCCTCAGGAAAGATTTCTCTAAGTCTCCTAATCAAATGTTTCACATGACTGGCTAATCCCTGTGACAGGGAAATCACTTGGCAAATATAGCTCCCAAGCACTGGCAGAGAATAAATACCCTAAACCTAGTTACAGCAAATGTTTTCTCCAAACACATGGCCCTTTAGCTTCTCAGAATTTCTTTTCTCCAGCCAACTCTCAATTCTCCAAGTTAAATAGATAATTCATGGAGGAAAAAAAAAAAAAACTACTGACAATACCAAAGCTTCCTTTTTAGTGAACCCACTTTCTTTCCTTAATTAGAACAACTATTAAAAAAGAAAAAACAAAAACTGAACCTTTGAGCACCCTGGCCCCCCACACATTCCACATCTCTGGTGCAGGTGGCGGAAGAAAGAGGACTGTGAAGAGACAGGGCCTCCTGGGTATACAAGGTGGGAAATTTGTCCTGAAGGAAAAAAAAAGACTACATTTTGAGATTTGTGTTATTGTCAGTAACTGAGGTAACAGCTTATTTTTCTTTCTTCATGGAGGGGGAAAAAAAAAGGATCAGGTGACTTCAGTCAAGGAGGAGGTAGACAGGCCAAACACTCTACAAATTACTCTGGACGGAGGAAACCACCTCCTGCAAGGGAACTAATCAAAACAATAGACCCTTGTTAAAAAAGGCCAGAAAATGCCCTGGCCCCCCTCTCCGCCCCCTCTCTCTACAAGTCCTCACCACCACCCTCAAGTTTATGTCTGAAGTTTTTTCCCTCAACTCGGCTAGCATTTGCTCACACTATTTAATTCCACATGTTCCCACTGGTGTTACTTGACTGGAATTTTCCAGCCATTTCATTTTACTTCAGCCAGTTTTAAAGCCAGATCTGAACCAGCTGCACTGTAGCAACTGGTTAAATTCATATCCGTTGTTTGCAGCTGCAACTGAAGGCCAGACAATGTACTAGGAAAATGCTTGGATTTCTCCCTTCCTAATTACCCTGAGCCACAATTTAATTTCACTACCAGCCTTCTAACATTTCAACACCTTCTTAACAACCCAAGGGAGGTGTACCAGAGATGATTTCAGGAAATTTGTTGTGCATCCAACCATAGGACCTTCCAGAGTGAATGGGATTTTGAGCTAGATATCTAATGGGACTATAAAGTAGATTTATTTGGTGGCTCTACAGACAGTTTGACAAGTTTATTTATTTATTTTTAAGGCAAGCTAGGATCTGTTGGAGGTGAAAACATTATTTCAAATAAATTCTGCACCTGAAAGAGTTGAATGTTAGCACAAATGGCTAAAATAAGACTTTTCATATAATCACTACCCTCATTTTCAACTATAACATTCACAAAGATTTCACAAACTCTTCTACAACAGCTAAGTAATTTGTCTTTTTAGTATAAGAAACCTCAAATTTCCACCAACTTGGCATTATTTATAAGAATTAAGAACTTTTTTATTCGCCTTAGGAAAAACGAAGAGGAATTAGTTTTGCTGGGACAACACAGAGGAGAGCCAATTTCACACAAGTTTCCAAAAAAGGCAAGCAAGGGTCGATATTCAGGTGAGTGGCATATACCACGCGTCTTCCCAAGTCTCTGTTACTTTCACTGAGCACACCAACTGCAACCCTGGACTCATTTCAAACCCTCGCACGTTAACGTTACCTTCCGTGCCTGTGACACACCTTGAGGAAGGAGATAAGCACAACTCAAAGCTTGACCTCTGCACTAGCACCTTCACTTACAAAGTATCCCCGTTTATCTAACAGATTTTTATGTCTGTCCAATTTCCTGGGAGTGATTTTCTCTATGAGACAATGAAGCTGACATTTCTCTTGTTTCTCTTTTGGGTAAAATAATTCTCCCAGCGCCTGTGTACAGAATTAACCTATGAATTAAAATGCCTAGGGCGATGAATCGATCTCAAAAGCATGAGAGGGGGTTTCCTGATTGGGTCTCTACAGTCTCAGTTTGTCCTAGAGATACCATCAATAGAAATGTAGAAAACTCTAGGTAACAGTTTCACATGACTTAAATTTTGTAATATAATTTCATTCCTCATATAATTACAACACATGCTCTTAAACAGCAAGCACTCAGCCATAAAGGGCCAGAAATTTTCAGATTCTGTCTCCCTCTTCAGAAAAACAAAATTTACCCATTCTTATTCTTAATAACTCTTATGTTTAAAATATTCAAGATTTAATCAGAATTTTTGGAAATTCCAAACATTTTGTATTTCCAACTAGCAGCTATCAGAGCTTTGTAGAAAGAGGATAAAGTTGTAGTCTAAAGCTCTCAAACAGATAATTTAAAAACACCAGCTATGCTGCTTTCTTTTCTCCCTCTATGAACAGATCCATATGCTGTAATAACTCAATTTGGCACATCTGTTCTATGCCACACCATTTATTATTGATGGACAGCATTTCTGTGCATTTAAAACATCAATGCCTTTTGTTAAACCTCCCCCACCCAGTCCCTCTCACACTCCACCCTCAGACAAACTACTCCAGTTCTCCTCATTCATTTTTAATGTTTCACTCCCTGAGATCTTTACCACCCACAAGGTCTATTAGGAAGAGAAAGACAGCAGCTACAAATCAGCCTTTCCACACATGAAAGGCAATAGGACTTAAGGTTTGCTGTGAAATATCAAAATTTAGTGGCATCTGCTTCCGCTTTCCACCAGGAAGAAAATACATGAAAGGAAAATGAGGTAGCCAACAAAAACGGAAAGCCCAGGAACTATCTTACCAAGATACAGACATTATCTCTCCAAAGCTCAACAGCCTTGTAAAGTGCTGTGCCTAGGTTTTCAAATGGCAGAACTCCCCAAAGGCTGTGCACTTAACTATTTGTGCTTATTGCATTTTGGAAGAAACATTTATCAGTGTTTAATCAGGCCGTTTGGCACGGCAAGTGCAGGAACTTACTGGAATCCTGGAATACCAGAACTGGACTTACAGACCGAGGGACTCATCTCTTGGATTAAGATGAGCCGGCAAACTAAAATGAAATCATCTCAGAAATTAGTTTGGAACATGCGGAAACAGTTTTGATATGTACCTGGTTAAAATTCTGCTTGTTATTAAAGGACCCTAAATGAATTTTCTTTTCTATAATTAGCTACTATGTCCCCTTTGTCAGATCCTTTGGGTGTCTTATAAGCTGAAAAAACAGGGGACTCTGAGGGAGGATGACAGATCTCTGTGCTCACAGCCCTTTTTACTCTTCCACTGGTAGGTGGTATATAGCCTCTGTATTTTGCTCTCTGGAGTGAACAAAAAAAGAAACCATTCCAATAAGAGCACGTGCTTCCAAGAAATACGCGTGCTCTACCTCCATCTCTTAAACACCTAACCTTTACTTCTGAAGTCAAAGCCCAGGAAACTTGGAAGCACCAAAAGGAGGCAGAGGATCCTGAAAGCCCCTTCCTTCCAGTGCCCCCGGGTTCTACAGCCCCTTCCCCCACCATCATCTGACAGGAAACCGAGGAGTGTGGATCCAGGCTGGAGCTGAGCCACCCCCACCTAGGCCGGAAGACAGGTGCCTGGCCTTTGGTTACAAGAGATGGAAGAACTCTGTGTCTCCCCTACTTTAAGAAGTGGGGTGGGGTGGAGGAGCATATTCATCTAGAATAACTTTCTGCTTGAACTATTTTGAACAAAACCCAAGGAGAGTGTTTATATGTACCAAATTTAATTAAAAAATGTTGGGTTGGTTAATAACTGATGTCACTGATAATTTTCCTTAGGATTAAAGGAAAAAAATTTGCTGGGAAGCTGTGGACTCAATGAACTGCAAGGTACTTTTACAATCACTACTCGGACTATTTATCAAATGTCTACCTACAGGCAGACTGAATGTAACACCTACAAAAGTCTATTTTGTTAAATAAGTAGTAACAGGAAGACAGTGTTTAAGAGGAGCCTTACCCCTAGACTCCTTTTAGGGCTTGAATGTCAAAATAGGGTTCTCTATGCTCACAGAGTCTCTTTCCACAGAGCTCTGTTCTAGGAACACTTACAGGAATCCAGAGAAATGGACTGGATCAGCCTTATTTACTCCTCAGCGTTGCCCCAGGTAATACATGCAGGAACAAGGGGCTTCCTTGGCTGCTGGAGGGGGGTCTTGGCAGCAGAAGGAAAAGAAGAAACCAAACTAGAGGGAAAGGACACCCACAGCCGAGGCTGCTAGGGTGGTCCGAGGGGAGAAGCACTAGGTTCAGAGGCTGGAAAG